TATTTTTAATAACTTTACTCTATGTCAACAAGCAAGTTAACAAAAATATAAAGTAAAAAAAAAAAGGAAAAGGAACTGATTTATCTTTTTTATAATATTTGTTTAACACCACAAGCTACAGAAAACGTTTTTGGACTTCTTGAAAATAACCATTGTTACGTATCGGCTTCTTGTAAAAAATACAAGTACACGCTGTAGATTATCTGTCATGCCTGTGACTTTGGCGGCTTTCCTCCCATTGGATAATAAATAAAAATGTAATAGCTACTATAGAGTTGGAAGTACATAGATACTTCTTCAGACCGAACGCCTTCGGTCGACACCAAAGGCAGAGGGCAACTGAATAAAACCCTACGACAGACAAAATACGAAGTTTGCCGAGGGATATTGCGAAAATAGAAACACTGTCACAAATGTCAGTTTCACGATGAAAGTATTTTGACGTTTCGGAGTAAAGTATCCACAAATACTGTCAAACCACGATTTTCGATCGTTGCTTCGTATTTGTGGTAGACTTCCTGATTCAAACTTGGTTTCGATACTTTAAATACATAATAAACAAACACGTGTTTCAGGGTTTTATAAATAATCCCTAAAAAGGGGCAAGTTAGGGTATTAAAGTGAAAAAAGTGTTTGTATTAAAAATAGTATATATATAGTATCCTTACATTTATTTGCAAACTGGAATATTTTTCATTTGTGTTTTAGTAGTATTTAATTAATGCAAAAGTTTTACGCGGACGGAGTCACGGGCAACAGTAAGAAGTAACTTGATAAACTGTAATGTGAGACCAAAAGTGCTATTTGAAAATAATATAAAAATTACTCCTAAGGTGTTTGTTAATAAAAAACGTATTCGAAACAATCTTTAAACTTCATTTACAAATTAGGAGTGAGTTGATTTTTTTACCGTCACATTAAGCGACAACACGATAGGACCCAAATTTTTAAATGAAGACACATATTTTGTGTTAGAAATCGACTTTTTACTAAATTCATTAGTTACCATAAGTACCATCAATAGCTGAAATCTGACCGGACACTTTTGTTGCGCTCGGAATAAACCACCCGAACTCTAACAATAAAATACACCTTGTATATCAAGTTGCGATGTTTGTTCCTACAATAATATTGATGATCGTTACTTTTATCTCGTAACAAATTCTACCGATAACATATAAATGTTATAATACTTTATATAATTTTATATATTCTTAGCAATATTCTTACTTATCGTATATTAGATTTGTGCTAAAATAAATAAAGAAACGTAGGTACTTATACCATTGTATATTATTCCAAAACATTATGAAGAAAAAAATACGTAAACTTTCGATAGAAACTAATTCAAAGAGCCTACTGGTAATATAAATAAACAAGTGGAATGTTCTTTGTACGAATTAGTAATAGACGTATGGGATTCTTTGATGGTAGCGTTACCAACAGATATTGGTACTAAAGAAGCTTTATTTAAAGAACACCCGTGCCATAAACTTTTGGGTTACTGAACTACAGTATAGTTTTCATAGATATTTTAAGTGATGCGTGTTACGTAGGTACATACCTAGCAATAGTCATATAATTTTTCTATTGTTTAGGTAAAACACATTTGTTTAAAGTAGTTTTCATTTTGTTTTCGAGAAGAGTTTTAGGACTCGTCAACTTGTGTCTCAGGGCGCAGTGGCAGTGCTCCTTAGATTTTTGTGATTTAAAACACTGAGTGGCACTGCAACTGTTTTGGACATACGTGTCGCTTACCACCAGGCACACGATTTGTTCCTCTCGACACTTGATATCATATTCGTAAAAAAAATAATCTTCAAATAGTCGTTAGTACTTTTAACTTGTGGAATATAAATTTGGTTAAAAGATTGTATACGTAAATTTTACGTTATTGGCTTTCTATTTAAGTAAGTTATTATACAAAATAATATACAAGCACAGGTAAATGAAATATTATCATTATTCGAAGAGATTTTTAAGAGCCTGTTTAAAGAGATATGACACAAAATAAATTGTCAATTTTATTTTAGTCTTTTGTAATTGAGATATGGAAAACAAAGTGACTGAATACTTACTTGCTGATAAACGGGTTGCTGTAGACATTGTAAAGAAGGATTTTAAAAGAAAATCTACATAGGGGATGATTTCTTGTAAGTTGTGACTTTCCTCAATTTTGAATCCGTTTACAAAAATTGCCACTAATACGTCTATGATTTAAAAATTCCTACTTTCCTTATCAACAGAAATGCTAGTTCAAAAGATTTTAAAAGTGCGTGTATTTGTACCTCTTTCTTTGTATGTACCTACATATATGATAAATTATAAATAAATAAACATTAGACAACAGCATATGTGCTGTAAACAACAACAAAATAACGTATGCGTTGTTTTGATTGAAGTAACAGTGTGAAATCGTCGACTTACTTTCTCAAACTAGTATCTGAAAGCACAAAATTACTAAGTTACTAAATGCAAAAAATGGATTGTAATATATAATACTGACAAAATGCAGGCTGATTTCACATCACATTTCCTTCATATTCACACACTAGCTTTTGCCTATTCTTAAAGTAATGCATCCAAATTAACGCCCTTGATAAGAAATTTAAAATAAATAGAAAGTTTTGCCATCTCTTGAATAATCACTGTTTATAAGATACGAGTTTGGGAAAGTAAGTCAAAATCACATCACGTCAGTGTCAAAAATGGCTCTTCTTCAAAAGTTCATTGAGAAGTTGCCGTTAGGTTATCATATGTATCTCGTACCTATTTATGAGAATTCGCGAGGGACATCACGATCTCTACTTCCGCCGATAACTACAGTGTGTTACTGATTGCCATCGACGACCATTTTTTTCTAAATGCGTGTTTTATGACTTTTTTTTGACAATGAGTTTATACGTCATCATTTAAACATATTTTTAAAATAGTCTACCATAAATGCCATGACAACGACTTTTTTAAAATAAAAAAATTACAAATCTCTGCGATAGTTGGGTATTAAACAAAATACAATAGTTTGTACTCTACGTGTTACGACATACCGTCGACTGAAGAGACAACATTGTGGTACTGCGTAATAACTATCGTGTCTACTCTAATTTCATTGTTCTTGAGCTACTATTGTCTTCGCGCTAGACAGTCCATATATGAAAATTAAAGTGAGTTTTTTAAATGAGAACTTGGAACAGATGGTTATTCCAAGGCATGATAAGGAAGCTTTGTTTGTTTATGATATCAAGTTTTTAGGTTTTTGCGATTGTCACATATTATTTTTTCGCAAATGAAATATTTTTTTCGGATCTGAATGGCGTATAAATGACAAATGGTGAGTTCGAAACGTTAGTTTGTTTAGAAAACAACTATAAGTGATTATGAGTTACAATAATTTGTGATGAATTTTACAAATAAATATACCTGCCATTATGATTGAAAAACAATTCATACTAAATACTTTGTATATACTTTGACATTTGGGTATGTAAAGGGCTTTTTTAGGAATAACATGCATGTATGTATTTATTTGGCGATACAATTTCACTTCACTTTAAAATTCATTTGAAAATTCTTGCTAAAGTTGTTGTTGTTATGGACAGTCTGAAATCTGAAAATATGACTAAGTGCATTGTGCCATTTGGTTATACTCTGCTTGTCAAGATTCATGGTGGTTTTTTTTTTATAATACTAAGTGACGGAACGAACAAGTCGTGCGCCTGGTGGTAAGCGAAACGCCTATCCATAGGATTTGGTAGATAGATCTTGTAAGAAAGAAGGGAAAATTTTTTAAAATCCAATTAACAATAATATCAAAATATCCAAGCTATACTTATACAATAATCTCAGCACAGAGTACTAAAAAAACCGACCTCAGAAGTAGGTACGTGGAATCACATCTATTTGCCAAGTTTTATTGAAATATCCCCTAGTTTGCCACTATACGGGACTTGACACAGGAGATAATAAAAATTAGTTCTTACTACTCAAAGTATATTGAGAGAAAAACGCCTTGAATTGAAGAATAGCAAAACCGACCATTAAAATAATTGCTTCTTAAGTAAAATTTTGGCGCTATTTATAAAAATGAATGTTCATGCATGATCAGCGCTGGATGATTTTCTTCAAAATAAAATCGGATCACTATGGAGGTACCCTCTTTCCAACAAAAAAAGAATCATGGAAATCGGTTCACAAATACCGGAGTTACCGCGTAACATACATACAAAAAAAAACACAGTCGAATTGAGAACCTCTTCCTTTTTGAAGTCGGTTAAAAATATTCTTAGTTAATTATACTTGGACGGGAAATGGAAACGTTGTGATGAAACGTGTTAGTCGGTGAAGGCTTACATAAATCTGCAACCCGCATTGGGCTAGAGTGGTAATATTTTTTTTTATGATAGCAAGTGACGGGACGTACAATTCGTGCGCCTGGTGGCAAGCGACACGGCTGTCCGTAGCAGTGTCAGTGCCGCTCAGAGCTTTAAATCGCAAAGATCTGAGATCGTCCGATCGTCTGAGTTCGCCCTCAGACATAAGTTGAAAGTCCCATGTGTCTGTGATTTCACCAGCACCCTTGTCATTCAAAATTGAAACGCAGTAATGGTCACGTTATTGCGTGACAGCAGAAATAGGTAAGGTGGCAGTACTTCCCTGGATGAACTCTTTCACAAATCACAAAAAAAACAAAAAGGTTTACCAAAAAAAGCGTCCCTATAGAGAAGGCCCGTGCTTAGCAGTAGCACGTTTTTGAGTCGATGAGGATATGTGTTCCGTAAAATACCTGTTCAAGTGTGCTTACATATGAAATAAAGACTGACCTTAAATGCCTGCTTCAATCGAATATACCTGTTCATCTTTCATTGATGCGAATATCGAAGAGATTGCTTCTTAGCAATATGCCTGCCTGTTTCACCATTTCTATACTTTTGTTTGTTTTTTTTTATTACCATTCTTGTTTGTGATAAAGAATGTTTTGTATTGCTTTGGTTTATTTGCAGATGCCGATTTCTGGTAGTATCGTGAGAACTGAGGAATATGAAGTGGCTGTATCCAATTATGTTTTTAGTGGTCATAGTTATGGAGGTCATTTGGACAGACCATGTAAGTATATTTTTCCAAAGTTCTCCTTGTCCTTTTAATTGTCAAGTATCACGTCATAGCGATACATTGTTCTTTTATGGAATGGTTTAGAATAGTTGTTAGCAATGGTATTGAAACAATAAAAAAACAGATATATGATAAAGTGTCAAAACATGTTTCTATTAAGTCTTTAAGTTGATATCGCTCCTAATGTACAGTCAACAGCACACTAAGTTATGGGTACACTTTTCAAATATCGCCCTCAGTGCAACGGAACATGACCAGTCAATGTGTAGTTTGATGTGCTGCCGTCTGTACATTTATTTGATCCTTACAAGGATTGATAATAATATCCGATAATAACTGCTAACGATTATAAGAAAAATATTACAAAAATTCGCACGTTTGTTGTTGTAATAAGGCCACATCTGGAAAATTAGGATTTTTCAGAAGAGATATTTAAAGATTCTACGGAGGGTCAATAACTTTTTTATGCTTCAAGGATAGTTATAGAATTTCACATATTATTAAGTCGATGCATATTATTTAATTTGCGTCATGTTCGTGCTATTTTATAACTTTCATGGGACAAAACACTTTTGACGAATGATCATAAGCATATGATAACTAAAATAGTACTATCTCAAAAATTGCTTTATATTATATATTTGACCATGTTATCCTGTCCCTTTGAAATTAAATCGTTTACGATTGACATACGTATATTGCGAATTTAGAGATAATACTATGGTAGTTGTCATGTGCGATGTGTGGCTTTGTTATACCAAGGGTTACGAATTCTTCATTGTATGCTTTTCCAATTAAATGTATGTTTATTTTTTTCACTTCTCATGCTCTAAAAGTACAAAATCAAAATCAAAAAGTAAAAGTTCTATAAGTGAAACAATATAAATACAACTAAAGCAACACTTAAATATAATCACAAAACCTACAGTTTCACAAAGATCGCTGCGCTGTGGAAATTCAATAAAATAATAATCTCAGTACAGAGTACTAAAAAAACCGACCTCAAAAGTACGTGGCATTACATCTATTTGCCAAGTTTTATTGAAATCGGTTACTGGAAAGTGCGCAAACCCGGATTCATCCCCTAGTTCGCCACTATACGGAACTTGACACAGGAGATAATAAAAACCGGATCTCACTACTCAAAGTACATTGAGAGAGACAAACGCCTTGAATTGGAAAATAGCAAAATCAACCATTAAAATAATTGCTTCTTATAATAAAATATATGCGCTATTTATGAAAATGAACCTTCATGCGTGAACAGCCACTCTTGGAGTTGGATTTTTTTCTTCAAAATTAAATGGTACACTATGGAGGTACCCTCTTTCCAGCAAAAAAATAATCATCAAAATCGGTTCACAAATACAAAAAAAAACATAGTCGAATTGAGAACCTCCTCCTTTTTTTGAAGTCGGTTAAAAAGTGCGTGTGTGTTGACCATTTTCATTACGAAAATGTTACGTTCTAAGACTACGCTAGGTTTTAGTTCCGTGCCTTTCCGTATACACAGTGGCGCCATATTATTTTCCTGCATTAGTGCTGTTGGTGTATGGACCATTTTAGTGACGCGACGTAGCATTTAAATCGTTCGACAGACGCTCATGATTGCAAAATACCGATAATCGTGGCGTTTTGTTCCGTTTGTTGTATCTGTGTTTGGTTGTAAAAAAAGTACCGCTAAAACTTCAGAATTTTGGTTAGTGATTTTGTTGTAGAGCGTAAATGATTGAATTTTTTTTCTCGTAATCGAAGTGGAACCCTCGGAGTAATAGATACCCTCGCTAAAGTGCGGGCGGCTAACCATCACGGATATATGTTAGTTCGTAGTCCCTTCATAAAAAATATACTATTTTATTTTCTGTACAATAGTGTGTTTCTAGGTGCATACAATATAAAAAGATATTGCAACTATCAGTAACTTCTCACAAACTTTTAAGCGACAGTCAAAATGGTTCTAAACAACTTTATCTGAAAAGAAATAAACACAATTAAGAAACAACTTAATCTGTATCAGAATTGTACTCCTTTGTTCTACTTAACCACTAACTTCACATTGTCTAATTAAAAAAGTTTCTTAAAAAAGAAAAATAAATGGTTTGCTGTTAATAGTTGACTGGAATGATGTGCGTGTTGTTTTTTTTTAAATAGCATAATATCAGCGGCGTTGTTGGACTTTTCGCTATTTTGCTGAGCAAAACGAACCTCCTTATCTTGTACAACTAAATATCTCATAACTTAACTTTTTTTTATAATTCTAACTGACGGGACGCACTAGTCGTGGGCCTGGTGACAAGCGACATGCCTGTCCATAACCGCTGCAGAGCCTCTCAGAACTTTAAAACGCAAAGATCGGAGGGGCACTGCCACTGCGCCCGTCAGCTTGAGACATAAGTTGACAAGTCCCATGTACCTGTAATTTCACCAGCACCCCTGCCATTCAAAATCGGAACGCAGTAATGCTCACGTTTCTGCATGGCGGTCGAAATAGGTAAGGTGGCAGTACTTCCATGGACGATTTCTTAACGAGCTCTGCTGCTACTGACACTTAATGTGACCGTGACGTACTTTATATTTTTTTTAAACACATTAACGTTTTTATAATTACTAAAATACTTTTAAATAATCAGATTTAATGCGTTTTAAAATATGAATATCTCCTTGTAAATTGTGTATAGTAATAACGGTGTAAAAGATCACTGATATGCGAGATGTGGCTACCAGACTAGAAATAATCCTATTTGGTTGAGTTAATTCCACTAAGGCTTGCTAGCAATTTGTAGTGATTCGATATCTGTGACTTGCCTCTACCAGAATAAATGCAACGTAACGTTCGCCGATGCTCGAACCTGAGTCCTAACCCCGGCCAACTGCGCCATTGCCAGTGAACACTACTCTCCCATTTAATTATTAATTTATTTTTACCCAGTTAATTTAACAGTTAAATAAACTGAAATTCGAGTATCGTAAATAATAATGTTGACATTCCCTAAAGGGATAATAATGTGTGTTAATGTCACATTATTATTTATCGGGATTTATAACGGAACTTCTCGGAACTGATTATGTTTGAATATGTATATCGTTTAATGAAATTTGCTACAAATTATTGTTTTAAATCATATTAATATTAAAGTTGTGTTTTTATAGGTGCGTTCTGCTCAACAAGATTTTGCATTTTAAAAGAGCGCTTTGCACGCAAATTGAGATGTAGATAGAAGTAACTGCTTTTTCTTTTACACAACATAGAAAGTAACTGTTATCTCTTTCATACAGTACGAAAGCAAGATAAGACAAACATTAGAAAACATTGCCGTTATCATATATTGGCTGCGTCTATTGTTTGACATTTTGATTTCTTCTTTTGAGAGAACTTTATTAAGTCGGTATGTACAAACATTGTAGTTATAATAAATACATACTATATATAAATATATAATGAATACACACATATAAATAAAACTGAACTTGTAACGTGAGCGTCACTGGAACTGCGGACTCAACCAAGCGTCCGTTTATGCTCGAATCGCTCATGTCCGTGACGCGCGGGGAAATGCGTTGAGCACGGCGACCAATCAGAGCGCCCGCCCGGTATCAAGATCTTTTACTATTTTATTTCTAATTACGCCAATGGCAGTGCGTTTTCATTATAATGTCGTCATGATAAATATAAAATAACTTTTTTTTAATTAAATTAAAATTATATTCCTTTTTTCGACACCATAACTGATGACCATATTTTTTTAGTCCAAGAAAATTCGGAAAAAAATCATCGCGGAACGCGACGAATTGAACTCACGAGAGCACCAATGTACGGACAACGGCACATCAGACTACACATTTTTGTTCGAAAATCGCCTCCAGTGCAACGGAACAAGATACGTCAATGTGTAGCTTGATGTGCTAGTGTAAACCTAACAGCTGGTGTAAACACCTCAGGCGGTAAACCATCCCGCCCAGGGACGCCGATTGTATACCGCCGAGGAAAGCCTGTATTAGTTTTATTCGTTGTTAAATTTTAAATGCATTGATATGGTAATATGAATCCCGGGGTTTTTTTGTTTTATCACGAAATGGGTATTTCCATACTAAGAAAACGCTCAAACTTTAGGTAACCTCAATTCCGATCACTGGTAATAATGGAAAATCCATGATCTCACCTAGCACCCATAGTGCTAACCGCTAGGCTTTTAGTAAGGCTTTTTATTTCAGTAGAGCTCCTTGTGAAAGAGTTCGTCCGGGAAGTACTGCCACCGTACTTAATTCTGCCGCAAAACGGTAATGTGAACATTACTGCGTTGTTGTTTTGAAGGGGACTTATTAATTTATATCTTAGGGTGACGGGCGCAGTGGCAGTGCCCCTCAGGTCCTTGAGATTTAAATCTTTTAATTCTTCGCTTAACAACTGGCATACATGACTTGTATGTCCCGTCACATGGTGTCATAAAAAAGGCCGTTAAGGTGGTCAAAATATGTTCTTTATGGGAAATGGGTTTTTTGCAAAAAGTTAATAATTGTCATGGATAGAGTCACCCTTTCGATCTCTTTTATACACCCAGTTGGTAATCACTAGACCGTAATATTTCCTATCTATTGATACGTTCCACAACTCAGGTACATGCAAAAAAGTTGGGCATGAAGCCAAATTTAAACGTCTTTGGTTCATTAGCTCGATGATTCATATGAATTGTTGTGTGCAAACTATAGGCTTTGAAACTGACCTAGTTATCCGAATAGTCACAAATTGCTACATGAGAGCTATTATTCTGCGAATTGCATTTATTTCATTGTATATGGTGTCCTTTAATCGTTTCAGATTGAAGTGGATCCCAGGAAATCAGCGGATACCGATGACACGATTAATAACTTTAGTTTGTTAAATTTGGATGAAATACTCAGTGATAGAGGAGGTAACATTTGAATACTTATTAATATATGCTATTTAGTATGTATACTTTCGCTAATGAATACGTATAGCTACTCAAATGGGAAAATCAGCTTCCTACATGAACTGAAAATGATCGTTTCTAGTTAAAAATTGATTATTTTTTTAAATTTTTGTACATTAAGCTTACACACTTTTTTCATCTATATATTGATTTTTGTATTTTCTGTATTGAATAAAATATAAGTACTAGTTTGGTAAGTACCGTAGTAAATCAGTATCAGGGTGCTTTTCAGGTTAGTTTTCTCTACCTAATTTCGGTGACAATTTTTATTATTTATTTAAGTATTCTTTTAATAATAGTAATAACACTCAACATAGTATATGTTATCGTGAAATATTAAATAATATTTCAGGACACTACCCTCGAATATTAATACTAATAATATTAGTATTCTAGAACATTTAAATAATTCAAATTGCCATCAAAATTAGGTAGACAAAACAACATGAAAATTAACTGTCAGTGTTTTAAATAGAGTCTTTATAGCTACTCCTCAATACTCAAGATAGAATATTAATATATCGACTTACATTTGCCGGGTTACCCTCCAGGTTTGGGTCATATCAGAGTTTAAAATAGCAAAGTGAAACAGAATGTTTACGTATGTTTCAAAACAATTACCATTTTTTATTCACTGACAATGGTAATGATCCCTGTAATTTTTGTAATATTCTTATAGAACTAACACTAGCGCAAGGCTAGTGGCCGCCATAAAGAAAATAATAATAACATTGTGTTGATATATGTTTTTTAAATGTAATTTTTTAAATGAATTAACGTTTTCTAGAGCTTTATCATGCGAAGTGATTATATTACAAATCCAATTTTTCCAATTTTATTCAAGATTACCAACAACTTTTCTGTTTTAGGAGGTAATGCAAAACCTTCGTATTCAAGATGGAGCAGCTGGGGTGCATGCAAATCACGACACAGGACGAGACGCAGACACTGCTTACGGCACAAAATATGCGGAGACAGCCTCAGAATTGAAGTCGCTAGGTGAATTTTGCGTATATTGTATGAGGTGTAACGTCATTTACTATTTTTACACCTCATATACATAAATGTAAATATTATTGTAAACTGACTTTTTGTAAACTACTCGACGAGTACACGGTATTTGTTTTAACGAAAATATTTGAATTATGTTGAAACGGCTGTTCAATTCTTCACAAGAAATGAATATTTATAACTATCAAGAACTACCATGCTACAAAAGGAGACTTACAGTTTTTTAAATTTTCACAATTACTTACAGTACAAATTGTTATTGTGTAAAGTTTTGGTGTTCTTAGGAACACCTTTCAACGATCGGCGTTCGTAATTTAAAAGCCGCTCCTGGAAATGTTCAGCTTTAATGTTGTCCAATTCTTGAAACTTGATACAGTAATACTGAGTTTGGTGGTATACGGGACTTGTCAACTTATGTCTCAGGGTGACGGGCGCAGTGGTAGTGCCCATAAGATCTTTGCGATTTAAAAGTCTGAATAGCACTGCAACTTATCGCTTCAAATGGTCGCTTACCACCAGGCGCATGACTCGTTCGTCTTGTCACTTGGCATTATAAAAAAATAAAATTAGAATGGGATATTTATTGTAATCACAAATTAGTGTCCTTTGTATAATAAAGGAACATGTGATCACACGTCAAATACTTTATCACATGAAAGTCATAAAAATAATACGAACCACATGAAACAAATCGAGTTCTTAGGTTTTCGCGATTGTTACACATAGAAAATGTAACAATTTTTTCGGATATAAATCGCGTATTTGTTTTTTCAAACAAATCAACGTTTCGAGCCCTTTACAGGGCCCAAGGTCACGGACCTGTAAAGATCCCGGGCCCGTAAAGGGCCCGAAACGTTGGTTTATTTGAAGAAACATACGCGATTTCGATCCGTAAAAATAGTTTAACTTCCTGTACATTAAACAAGTTGTGTATACTCGTATTTTAAATTTTACGATTCTCCCTTCTTACCTTCCTTCCTCCCTTCTATTTAGGCACAAAAAAGTTATTGATTATATTTATTCTTAGAATTTTTAAACTTTTCTACTGACAAGTTGTCATTTTGCAAATTTGGCATTATTACATCAAGGATGCGAATTTTATTACGAACGGTCCAAGTAACAGTTATTCGGCTCCTATGATGCTAAACCACCTAAACTCACACATATTTGAATTTACATTTGGGCATCTATTTTTAAGGTTGAAAGGTCGTAAATGTATATAAAATTAGAAGAACGAGTGCGGTTCAAATAACCGAAATCTGTACTCCAGTTTGCCACGCAGTTTCTTATAGATTACTAAACAGCACTTACGTATATATATAGTATACACATCAAAAGTGTCTAGGGATTAAGGTATTTTTTTTTAATATTTTGTTACTCTATTAAAGTTTAATAAAAATATCCACAAAAAAATTATAAATTGGCGTTAAAAATTTTTTAAATAAAACACCTCATTTTTAGTAATTGGCAAGAACATACTTGATCCCTAGACTCATAGTTTCCCTAAATGGTCCCGACCCAGCGGGCGCTAAAGAGTCCTAGTGGGGCGGCGGGGCCTTTGAAGCAATTGGGGGGCGTTAATGCTGTCCAGAGGGTGCTGCCGGATTTTGAAAAACAAACCTGAATTATCTATATAAACTACACTACATATATGTATATAATTTCTTTTTTGTGTTAATATAAAAAAACGTGTTTTTAATTGTTTTTGTAGTGATGGGCGGTTGAAATTTTTTTAAATTGCCGAAACGGGCGGTGAGCCAAAAAGTTTGGGAACCTATGCCCTAGACATTTTGGGTGTGTGTAATATGGTTTAACCTGTCGCTTCTCAAGCAGAGGTCGTGGACTCGAATCCTGTCTCGCCTACCTCTGAGTTTCTCGGAACTTATGTACGAAATTTTATTTGAAATTTACCATGAGTATTTCGGTGAAGAAAAATATTGTGATGAAACTTGCACATCGAAGACGGTTCCTAACTCTCGGAAAGCGCGTGAAGTCGAAGATGGCCTTAACCCTTGTCTGAAAGGAGACCCGTGCCTAGCATTGGGACGTATACATGGTTGAAGTGGGTGATGTACCTTCACATCGTCATCATGGCAACTTAGGCTTGTGACGATGTGACCTCCTTCCATCATCATCCCACCTTATTATCACTTTCTCTCTGGTTCCTGGTCACTTGTTTCCAAATGTTAAATAGTTCTTTAATTGCCTAGCTTCGCCATGCTCATTTTGTTTCGTTCCGTCGCCACTCTCTGCCCAATTGCTATAGCGAGCAGTGCTGCTCGTCTAATTTTGATTTTTCTTTTACCAGTTCCCAACCTTAATCATGTGCCAATTTTAATACGAATCTAACCGAGTAATATTGTATAACTCGGTCCTTTCGGGGTAAGTCTGTCTCACGTTTTTGGTACTTGAGTAGGGAGTGTTTTGTAGCGTTGTACCTGTTTTTTGTACCCTTTTCTTATTACAGCCTTTTTCTTTTGACTTTACTTATGGAATAAATTTATGTAGACCGAAGTATCCTGTTTTATTGCCGTGATGCTGGTCATGGCATATTAGCGGTTTACAACCTCTTCAGACTCTGTAAACGGTATCTATAGTATCCAGGTTAATACCAATATTTACATTTGTATTAAATCCAGCACAACTATGTACATATTTTTTTAAACCCTAAGTCCGACTGGTAATTTGGTCAGTTGTATATGATGTAAATCATCGAATACCTTCGATCGATCCATGCGGAATCGCACTTGTTTGTAAATACTGCTAACGTCTTATTAATAAATTAATTCCTGGGAATTTACTCAATTGCTCGTGTATGCCTGCATACCGTACATGTGTCTAAAATTTTTAATAATGATAATTCATTTCACGAATGGGTAATAATTATAGTGACAATGAATTTGAATTCAAGAGAAATTTGCTTATTAAAAAAATAGATATTTTGAATTTTAATTTAGGTGATATTGTCAAAGTTAACTTAGGATAGAAAAGTCGCTTTTAGGTTTAAGAATCCTAATTTTAGATAATGAATGCTAGTCAATAATTTAATTTAAATCCAAAAATCTTTTTATAATTTCTTTACTGTATATCATAAGTAAATAAATTAATTAATTTGAGTAGGCACAACAATTAAATAAAGTTATTATTTCGATTATATAGGTACCTTTGGTCTAGAAGTTATATTTTAAGCTTTAATTTGCTTTAAAAACCGGATTTCGTTCAAAAACGGAGTGACGATGTTTTCTAATTTAGCCAACGACTTAAAACCAAATTAAAAAGTCAAATTAAACTATTCATTCAATTTAATCAACTCCCTACTGCTCTTATTTCTTTCGTAAGAAATAAAAAATGAGTAAGAAACTTCAAATTGTTTTAAAATATCATTGGTAGAAAAATGTTGAAGAAAGCTAAACGGATGAGGTTTTGTGTAAAAAGACATTTGGTGGTGTTGCTTACTGAACATTTTTGTGTTCGAATGAAAGTGATCTAGTAAACATCATTATCCCATTTATACGTCCCATTAGTGGGCACGGGTTTCCTCACAGGCGAGGTTTAGGTTTTAGTCCGCAAAGGAGACCCGATGCGGGTTAGGGACCTCACGCGTTTTTTTAGGGTTGTGAACCTTCTTCGACGTGCAGGTTTCACCTAGATGTTTTCCTTCACCGAAAAACTCATGACAAATTTCAAATTAAATTTCGCACGTAAATTCCGAAAAAGTCAAAGTTACCAGCCCGGATTCGAAGTCTCATCCTTTAGTTGAGAGGCGGCCGGCCAAACCATTAGGCTATCATGGCTTTTTTCTGATTATATATACGCGTATTAATGTAATAAATAGGATGCGTATTAATGTGATATATTGCAGATGTAAGCAGTCTCACGATTCTTCTAAACCAATTAAAAGAAACAAAACGACACATGCCAAACCTCGTCAACGAAATGTGCGAATACACATCGTAAGTAATATATTTTTATAAGGTTAATGTTTTTTCAGTTAATTACAAACAGACTTTTTTCATTTCATTCCATATTTATTTTCAAAAATTAATTTTGCATGCTTACGTGATTTGTTTTGTTTTCATTTAAATTGTTTATGATAATTTAGTATTTTTTATTGTCAGTATTTTATTAATTTATTAATGTGTTTGATTTTAATTTTTACTTTATAATTGTATATGGATGTAATTCGTCCAAACTAAATGATTTTATTTAATTTAATTTTATATACCGTATATAAATAAATAATAAATAACGCACACACTCAACATAGCCCCGCACTAGGGAAACCCTGTGTCGCGGGTGCCATGGACACACATATAGACAACCACAAATTACACCCAAACTCACGAGAGAAATAAATGTAGGCCATACAAACATTTCTCCCGACCCGGGAATCGAACCTGGGACCTCTGCGTGGCAGTCCGGCATGGTAACCGTTCGGCCACGGAGGCAGTTAAAGTTAAGTTAAGTTAGTATGTTGAAACTGAAAAGAGAGTTAATGTCAACTTTTGGAAAATAGTCATAAAGTTTGTGAAATTAAGTTTAAATTTGAAAAAGCGAGAATTTCGTTTAGTGACGGTGTTGTTTTCGACATACGATATGCAGAAGAAATATAGAGTCGCGTAATTTCGGCGCTGTCGAATTTCTTCCAAATTATTTACTGAAAATCAGTACAGAATTCGTATTTTAAATTCCGAATGGAAGAAACGCTCACAGTTATTCTATTTGTGAACAGTCCCAAAGGCGCCAGCTGGACAGTGATGATGTCCAGAAGAGATTTCGAGGATTTTCGCCCTGGAGCTCTTGGAGTACCTGCTCGAACAAATGTACGACAGTTAGACGAAGGTAAGTCTGGGGCTTAGGGTTAATTCTAAGGTGATATGCCACGGTCTTTTTTTATACAAAAATTTTTGCATGAATGTAAATTTTACTTTCATTGCTACTTACGTACTAATGTTGTATGGCGAATTATAATGGCTCAGTATATAAATATTGTAGATAGGATATTTTGCTTCATATTTTCTTTGTAAAAGTAAGTAATACTGCATTCAAAGACTTTTACAAAGTTTCTTGCCCCATTTGGGAATCGAACCAACCATAAATTTACTTATGGTAACGTATGGTATGGTACGAGTAATAAACCTTCTTTTCGAATTTCTTCTATTCAAATTATTAGTGAATTCGGGCATTACCAAATTGGCGACTATTTAGTTGCAATGTTTTGAAATTAGAATTAATTTAATTTAGACATTACAATAATTATTTGTTATGCAAGGCTGCAAAGTTGTTGTTTGGCGCGAGGACTTGTATTGAAACCTGTGCAAACGAAGGACCCTAAGATTTCAGAATTTGAATCCTGGGCGTAGCGAGGGTTTTAAGGCACGAGACGCAAAACAACTTGCTGCCGAGCGAAACACACAACTTTTCACTTCACTATAGCGAGGAAAATGGTAGAGGAAAGAAAAACAGTTCAACTATAATAAATCAGTTTTTTATCACCGCTAGATTCAGAGTCGATCGTGTTTTGTTTCTTTTCAATTTATTACTGTACAATTCAATCCAAAATATTGTACTTGAAGTGATTAAAATGATTTTTTTTATTAAGGCTTTGGCAAAGCTATCAGCCTAAACATGAAGTTTAATTATGTTTCTGTAAATATGGCTACCACAAAGAGTATAGGCAATTTGAGGCGGCGTGCTTGGATTGACTCGGGATTCCTTAAAACGGGCCGATACGGGTACTCTAGTTCGAGATTCGTATAATTTCGCGTTTTAATCTTCGATTAAGGCACAATAGCACTATCCTATTCCACTTTAAACTAGATTTCACAAAATAATTGAAAATCAAAATAAGAACGAAAGTTTTCCCTCGAAAAGGTCCAGAGCGAATTGATTAAAATGAAAATTTGAAAAAAGAAGTTTACTTTTGGGTGCGTTCTGAAGTTACACCACATACGTTTTTTTCTTCTTTGTACTATAACTTTATGTAATTAACGAAATTATTTTAGTTCTACGACAAATTAAAATAATCCAATAAAACAATATTAGTGTTATCGTTGTCAATTTAATGTCAGTAGTAATAAGAATAAATTAAATTAAATTAAATTTTTTATAGTCAAAAGAAAAATTTTATCGTTCGTTCGGATGCGTTCTGAATTTGCATCTCATCAATTTTTATTCTTGCTTGTACTTATAATTTTGTGTGATTATTGACATTATTTTAGTTCTTCGACGAATTAAAATAATTTAATAAACAAAATTAGTTATCGTGGTCAATTTAATAGCAACCGTAATAAGAATAAAATATACCAATTGATCTAAATTACATAAATAATGTACGACAAATCACGTAGTATAACGAACGTGTCATTATGATTTTTTTCTTCTTCATAGGATAAAGTTAGGTGCACCACAGTCCATCTACAGGTTCGAATTTCAAAAATCTTTTCCACGTTAGCGTGCAAAAAGCGCGCAGATTTCTAACGATAAAGAAAGCCTTTCCGAGCTAGTGAGGTGAAAAAAATATTACACATGGAGGTCTACTCTCTTTCTTGAGAACGAAATTTCATTAACGAACGAAATTTAAACGAAGTTTCATCAAAAACCTTACTCTGATTCTTTTCAAGAATTTCGTTGTCATTTATAATTTTCCCGAACGACTGTAATGAATGATGTTGTGTAGGTCTTTTTTGTCAGCTACGGTAAATTACGGTTTTACTTTAACTTGAAATTAATACAACTGTTTTGCTTTATTTTTAAATTTTACTTTTAATAATATTCAATTATTCGTTATGAACCACATATTATGTGGTACATAATGAAGCATTTCTTTTAATATTATTGCAGAAAATATAAAGAAACAAATAAAAAAATATTTTGACGTAATTAGCCTAGACGCTATAAAATACTCATTGTTGTCCGATTGGTTTGAAAAGTACCATTTCATGCAAACAATAGGTGAGAAAAGTATGACAACCAAAAACTTCCATATATTAGAAGCTATTGTGGAGTCAAGAGCATGTCAAGCTTGACACTTTGTGCTTTGGACCGTTGTTATCGTAAGCGGCATAGAGTTGAATTTAAGACTTAAGTGTCAAGCTTGACGTGCTCTTGACTGTACTATAAAATGTATTTTTTGTAAACTTATCATACGTAACATTTACCTTATAAATATCAAAATGAAGGCATTGGAAGCGCTTGCTCTCTTAAAAAAAGCAAAAATAAAATGCAGTAAATTGATTTTATTTAATCAACTCACACAATCTTTATTTCCCTGGGTAGAACTTTATTTTGTACACGTTTCCCGAAATTTGCACTACACAGCTTTTGATCTTCGGCCGGCGGCTGAAGAATCAGCTAATACAGAGGCAACCTTCTTTTAGCTTGGCTTAGCTTGGCTTTAATTTTTTTCCCAACTTGAGAACAACAATCGTAAGCTCGTTCCCATGACGTCTTTCTTTTGAAAGTGATAAGGACTCTACTTCTTGAGACTTCTATTCAAATAGAAATGTGCAATATGGTATGCAATAATAAATAAAAAAATTGCCGATTCAGAGATTAATTTCCTACAAATTTTTAAGTCGGGAACTTCACTTATACGTAATTGCTTGCACTGGCGGCGACGACGGTTCTTTCTACATTCTGAACGTTCGTCCCGCAGAGTTACGATCAACAAAAACATTGTTGCAGTCATTTCAATCAAATTTTTAACAAAATTAAAGAGAAGATTCATTTAAGAGAATCAAATGTAGCACGTAGCACTATTAGTTTCGTCAATTTGACTGTCAAAATCAAATTTTCGTTCGGACGTTTTGAATTAGGCTCAACTCACACTGGCGCGGAACCGAAGCATCGCGACGCGTTATGTTTTTCGCCTACAGCATATTCATCTACATTTTCCAATTATTAAGGTACAAATTTGTGTTTTGCAAATATGGAATCGAGCGGCGACGCGCGTCGACGCGTGTGAGTTGAGCCTTAGAGTAAGGCATGGAGTATATAACCAAGAAATAGAGACGAAATAAGGGCCATATATTCCTGGTAACACATTAGCGATACAGCTCTTATGAATATTAACTCTCGTTTGCACTGAAATGTAGACAGGCCAACTACTGACCTGTACACACAGTCTCCGTATATTCCAAAAAATATTCTGTATTTATTGTAATAAAGATAACATCTCTAACAATGCCGTGCTGTTCTATTCGGTGGTGTGGGAAAAACAGCAAAACATCTAATTACAAAAAACGGAATGACATTTCATCGGTAATTAAATATTAAATATGTAATTTTGCAATTTTTGTCCATTATAGCAAAGCTCAAGATAACTGGTCGATTTGAAGTGAAACAGTTCACGATACACATTGACGATACCCGTCGTGTTTCGAACTCGGGCTAGCCAATCGGAGCGCAGTTGTCACAGTAATGATATGGCAGAATAGTTTTCAAACAAATTAAATGACATTTCGTCTCTATTTCTGGTTATATACTCGATGGAGTAAGGTAACGAAACACTAAACGTCAAACAAGTTTCGTTCGAATGAAATTTCGAATGATTTCGAGGAAATGGAATTGTGGTGTGCGAAACTTCGATCGAAATTTCGTTTTTCGTTGAAAAAGAGTAGACCTCCTGGATTCATTTCTGTGTGAGTAACTTCATACATCAAATTAACGCCACAGTTTTTTTTTCCAAGTATCCTCAAAATTTTAGGAGCTCATAATAAAAGTTTCAATTGAATTTTCCGTAGTTTTTATGTATATATTCCCTATATAGTTTAATCTGCACTTATTTTTCTGCTACATTCCTGTGACTGCACGCGTAAACTGTATTACTAATATAATTTATCAGTTTATTAGTTCGCCATGATTTATTTTCTAAGCTTCACCATTTTTATTTTTTTAGGCTACGAATTGTTAAGTATATACCAAATATACTTGAAGAGGCATTAATACTTTAAAATAATAGTGCCTATAAACGGACTTCATAAAAGCATGGGTTGGCATTCCTAAAATTTTCTATAAGTTACCTAATAGATAAAAACGTGCATAGAAGTCATTGAGGTAATCACAAGAGTACGTACTCTATAAACTGTTTAAAGTCAGACTAAGTAATTCCTTAGTCACACTAGAAACCCTTGCCCCTTTCTATAAGAAGTTATCTATACAAAATTCGGAAGATATCTTGAGGGACAACTTACTTTTAAGCAAGACCATTAAATATAACTGCCTCTATATAAATGCATATCTAACAAACTTTGTTGGTTTGCCGTAATTAGACTACTTGGGGTGTATCACTTGAAGTTTGGGTAATTATACTCTGTAAATGTACCTCATAATACTTTTGATTCACGCAGGCAATGTCATATCCGAAACATATGCGGTCGGAAAATGATAAGACAGTCAGCGTACTGTTACTTGGAAGGGAGCTACTGCCACAAGTGGATTCGCAGCAGAATGCAGAGGCGGAAGGACCCAGGTGAACTTGCACATAGGTATAGCTAACAACTCTTACCATTAATATTCTTTAACGTAGCGACTAAACTTCTAATAGCTTTGCAATCCACTAATTAATCGGAGCACCTAAATTGAATTTATAAAAATACATTTGTAATTTATAAAAATAAAATTTTGTGACGTACTATTTTACATTTAAATTAACGCTCAGTATATAGAAAAAGAAACCAATTTTTTTTTAATTTAAATCGCGTGTATTTGTTTTTTTTTCAACAAACACACAAACCATTTTGTCAAAAATCGTGGCGTAAATAAATCTGCAGTAGCAAGCACGTCATGGATAAACCTACACATTCAATTAAATTCGACAAATCTCAGGTTCTTCAAAAAAAAGCCAGTTTACGCAGAATGTTGCGAGAGGCCATTGAAATTTAAAAAAATCCATATTGCAATGGGGAAGATGGAAGATTCTTCGTACGATTCTTCGTACGTTCGATTCGTAGTTTGGGATCCAGTAATTCCTCTGATGAAAAAATCCCAGCAGACTACAAATTTAATTTTATTCACATTGTTAAAATAAATTATCTTTCTTTGAAAATTTAAATTTAAAATATGTAATTAACAACTTTTGCAACTACAGTGACAAATAGGGTGGTATGCATTAATATTAGTTATAACTTGTTGATGACTACTAATGGTAAGTAATTATTGATAGGCTATTTTTTTTATTTTACTTAGTGCTCTGGGACTTGGTTCTAGGAATTCCCCAGTTTGAAGACCAAGTAATTAACAGCGGCGATTGTCTGGCATTGGTTTTTTAGTCATAAATAATAATTACGAGTATTATGATTAAATGAAATGAAATGTAACTTCAAAAAAAGAGGAGGTTCTCAATTCGACTGTCTGTTTTTACTTGTATGTTACGCGTTAACTCAACAAATTTGTGAACCGATTTAGATTTTTTTTTGTTTTTTTGTTTACCCTCTGGTACCTCAGTAGTGGTCCCATTTAAATTTGAAGAAAATATCCACCTCTAAGGGTAGCAAACTAGGGGATGAATGACTTTTGAGGTCGGTTTTTCGTACTCTGTGCTGAGATAATTTTAGCTGTTCTTTTTTTAATGACAGGTAGCTATTTACTATATATATTGACAAAGAATAGCCTAGCTAGCCTTTGTTGTTCCCAGGCAGTCTATTATATTTTTTGATAAAATTTTGTACAGCATTCTAGCTTTGGACTTTATCATCATGTAGAAAGTGCTCTTTCCGCTGATGAAAACGAGCCCAAACACGATACCTACTTTATACCGGCAAAAGGTTAGTAAAGGTGCTTTTGGCATCATCATCAGCTTCAGATAAAAAAACTCTAAACAAAAAATATATACACACACACACACATATATATATATATATATATATATATATATATATATATATATATACATATTTTATAGCGGTTAGACTCGTTTTAACGAGTTGAGAGAGTTTTTTGATCTAAAGAAGATATATATATACCGCCTAAGAATTCGACCTCGACTCTTGGCTGTTGCATCAGGTTCTTCTTCTTCTTATCTTTCGTATCATTCTTGACAGAGTGGTCCTGGTCATCACGTAGTACGTTTGTTAACGGCTGATGTGGCTTGCCTCATGACATCTCGTCATCTCTCTCTGTTAGTGGACTCCCTCGTGCACTCATGGAAAGGACCGCCCACTGCAGATTTTATTTGATAGATCCATCGAATGGGTGACCGTGCCGTCTAATGCCCTCCACTCTGCCTTGCACAACAAGACGCTCTATGGAGTCAACATTCCGTCTTGAGACATGACCGAAGAATTTTAGGATGCGAGTTTGCACCACATTAGACAGACTGTAGCGTACAGTAGCATCAGGTTAGGCAGGTACAACATTTGAAAGGGTTAGGTACAGGAGATGTGTGTCAAATTCGAGTTGTAAGATTTGATCCGGAACGTACAAATAAGAAGAGAAATTTGAAAAAAACCTATAATTGTGTAGGTAAACACTACGCATTATTTTTTGTTTCTAGTCATATTGCTTAAGCCATACTAAAAATTTCTGGATTCTGATAAGTAAGATCACATATTATGTTTATAATAGATTTATTGTTTTTCAAAGTATATGCCCTCACTATTCACACACTTTTGCATTCGTTGGAACCATTGTGAAAAGCAGTGGGACTAGTCTTTCGTAGGGACCTCTTCAATGGCTTCGTGGAATGTAAGCATCGCCGCTTCCGGGCCTGCATATATATCAGAAACCTCTAAGTTCATGTTTGATTTTTGGAAATAATAAGAAGTTTCTTTTGGAAAAGGTTTGGATTGTTTGGTGTTTTGAAAACGACGCCACAATGAAAAAACACATGACAGTCACTTATAGTAAAAAGTAACCTACTCATAGAGTTCCTTTTTCAAATTTCGTATTTATTTTTAGTCATTTGTACGAGTTGCCAGTTCCAGGAACTTTCAGTACTCTCCACGTATTTTTCCTGTTTGCGTAAGTGTGTTATTTCAGACGGAAGATATATACATATCTATCTATATCTTCTATCTATCTATCTATTTATATATATACCAAATAACCCCAAATTGTCTATTGTCTTATTCTCATAAGCCTAATCCTTCGTCAAAAGACGAACGAACCAAAATGATCGCTTTTAACTAATGAGAGTAGCGTCCATAAATGCAATTTTCTCCTAACAACAGTGTTCATCCAGAATTTGCAACAATGCCGATAACATTCAAATTGAATTAAGTCGATAAGTTTCACAACTAAAGTTATTTTCAAACAAACAAGATCGTAAAGATTAGGTTATTTTTATTATTATTCCCTTAGTCGTAGAGTTATTTACATTTAAGTAAAATTCTAGGACTATTTATAAATAGTTAGTGACATTATATATAATGTCATTAACAGATTTAGTATGTAAGCATATGCCTAAGAATTTGGTTATTCAAGTACTAAAATAACTAATATACTAAACGACGACATTTTTGTATGATTTTATTCTCCAAATGTACAGTTTTATTAGATGTAATTCTTCAAAGGTGCTCAAGTGTAGTGTGATGCATGTGCTCAAGGGGAGGCTCATGCCTCCTTGAGCACACGTATCACACTACGTACGTCATCATCATACGTCACGTCAACTCTTTCAGTCCTGTGCCGCCCAGATTTTCCTATCTAAATCACGTATATTTGATTTTTCAAACGAACTTTGAAGGCGAAAATATAAGACGTCGACAATAGCTATTTATTACCGTTCAGGGGGCCAATCGCGCTAATTGTCAAAGGTTTAACCAAAACCTCCAACCTCGCCAATCTGACACGTTGTGTACATTTCGTATCGCGCTAACTGTCAAAACAAAAACCTAAGCCAAAACTTAGACGTGTGACACGTAACGCACATTTGGTATCGCGCTAATTGTCAAACGTAAAACCAAAACCTAAAATGTTGCAAATTGGTATCGCGCTAAATATTTTGACATTTTAACCTCACATGTAACCTTGGGGGAATAGATTAACCTTTGCAAGGTCAAGGTTTGTGTGGCAGTTAATGGAGAGTAACTTTTCACTACGTTTATCGTATATAAAAGATGTTCCACGGTTACTTAAATGTTTTGGAAAGTGTTTATGAGGTGGATGTGGCCTAAGAACGGGCTTTAAATAAAAGAAAAGCATAGAAAGACGATCACATTTAACATGTCTGAGGAGAAATTCCGCAAACGATATACCGTTTGGCCACGGAATTCATTTCAGGATTGGTGGAAGAACTATGCCTACATATTCTCGTTAAAGGACGGTCTGTTGCATTGGATGTGGAGACAAAGGTAAGGGTTAAGTGGAATCCGAAAGTTCTCAGTTTTGCATAATAACCAAAATTTCTATACTGTGTAAATCATTATTAATTTTGTTACAGATTTTAATAGCTCGTATAGTTTTTAACAACTGGGGCGTACCAGACCCCCATTGGCAAGTGCTTATCACCCTTTCCCAAGCCAGTGTCAGAGAGGCACAAGCGGTAGCTGCTTCAAATAAACCAGTTATTATGAATAAATATGCAGCTTTCCTAAAAGGCATGCCGAAAGAGATGGTATTAAAAGGCGGTGAGAAAATAAGCTTTACAATGTACATTATATCTATTAGTTCTTGTCTTATTTCCTGTTGTTATTATCAAATTAAAATTACAGATATAGGTAAAATATGTATAGTTGTATAAAAATATATTACAAGGTTACAATTTATCTCTTTTAACACTTGACTTTATACAACATATCGTCCCCTTACAGTGAAGCCTCACATATGCATTTTCAGTTTGTTTTTACTGATTTTTGTTGAATAAAAATTAATAATGTAATAATATAGTATCTAAAAGAGGTATAATTTAAGTAATTAAAATGCTAACTACACACATTATTGCATTTACTATACTTCACACCATATTTTTATCTTCATCCTAAAAAATTACATAGAAATATGAGGTATTCATTCTAAGATGACGATGTATACCTATTGTAATTGTTTATTATCTTAATATCTAAATTGATGTATACTTTTAAGAGGTTGAAATAAAAAAAAGAGTGTATTTTTAGTTTATTTATTGCCTCAATCTACCCCAAATCATCCTTCATTTCCAGAGCGAGCTTGCTTTTGATTCTTCAAAGAAGTCTGAAACAAAAATATGTATATAGGAAGATTGGAGACCTAAATTTAAGACTGTGCCATACCTCTCATGAGAGTAGTGACAGATAAAGCAGGATGGGTATTTATATACATACAGTATGAAGCCAACATAAACGCCAGAATGTTTAGGGGCCTTTTCAAAATACATTTTAAAAAATGTTTATATCACTGTGGAAATATAAAGGGGACAAAAGTCTACAGATTAGACCTTCGTTCCTTACGCTCTTTCAGATTTCCACAATTGAACATATCATCAGCAGGAATTAAGAAAACATGTTGAAAACAAACCTGTTATTCTTGTTAAATAGTCTATCAAAAAGGTTAACTGCAGGCACCAACTCGGTAATTGCTTTGCAAATGGCAGCTACGGATTGGGCATGCAGATCATCTGCTTTGGCAGAAATAATAGCTGCCTCAGCCTGCACCCTGCCAGCATTCACTTGCTGCAAGAATGCTTCACATGCTCGCTGCTCCTCAATGCATAAGAATTCTACCCAGCTCTGCTCCAACGCTCATCAGCTCGCTGTCAACGAAATAATAGATGTGATGGAATAAAGAGTGGGAAAGAATTTGCTCAAATTGAAAGTTACTTTGTTTTTTAATTAATAATAAAGAGTGAGAAAGTTACTTTGTTATTGAATTGTATGTTTGAAGTTATTTTGTGCTAGAGTTGGTGTCCTTTAGGAAGGTTGGTAGGGCCTCTGCCGCAGTCGATGTGGCGTAGATTCTCACCCTGCTTTTCATACCATTCCATACCTGAATAACAATAATAACATCGCATATTATAGTGATATGAGTTCTGGTACAATAACGGTGAGTGATCCACTCACTGTATCCTATTACCTCGCATTATAGCTCACCTTTTGGGATCTATTGCGGGGCCACAAAATAGCCACACACTCGCACCAAAGGCGTGCTGATAACACGCGCGAACAACGCCGAGCGAAGTCATTCTCAAGCCAAATCTCTGTGCGATTCGAACTCCAGCAAAGATGGAGCTGGCTTACAGTGGTCGCTCGCCGTCCGACCGCATCCACACTGGCTGAAATACGAGCATCATTATTAATTCTACATTGCTAACATTTCGAAATTAATAGTAGTTAGCGTACCTATTTGATTGTATAAAAAGATACTATTTTATTAAATAGAATATTAAAAAAGGAAAACAATGTGTAGGTACTTGCCTCTGCGTGTTTTATCTACAACAACAACACACTAAATTCAATTAATTTGGTTCAAATCACAACACATATGTTTGTTTACAATAGAATTTAATGACATTTCTTTTACACACTTTTTTAAATCGCTCTTTTATAGACTTGAATTCGTAGATATTGACATTTCAGTGCGTTTTACGGTAAAATTTAGTCGGTTTTAGGAAGTCAAGGCACGTCTCTTAAAATTTAATACGAGGTTATAGTTTGAGGTTAATTTGAGGTTTAGGTTCATTAAAACTGATAGCGCGATTGCATTTTGTGCGTCGGTAGAACCATTAATTAACCAAAACCATAACCTCAAATGTTGTAAGGTTAAACCTTGCGAAAATAGCGCGATTGGCCCCCAGGTCTCGACGGTGATATTTTGACTTTTATAAATGCCGAATCTTTCTGATTATGATCGAGGTTAGAAGATTTCGTAGTATTTTTTTATATAGACGCTCTTTTTCGATAGAAATTATTTTTCCTCACTACCCTCTTCTTAGTGTCAAAATATATGATTATGAAAGTGAAATTAGTTTTCGGATCTAAAATCGCGTGTATTTGTTTTTCAAATAAGATAAGGTTTCGGGTTCTTTACAAGTCGTATAAAATATTAAATATAATAAAAATCACCGTTGTTGTGTAATTCAAGCTAGTAGAACAGTATTACGTCAGCAATTGTCGTATTTATTTACGAAACTTACACTATTGAATTCCTTTGTTTTCGTATATAAGTTCGGTAAATAAGTTACGGTAATGCGTGCTTTGATACCCAAGTTTGTTATATATTTTCATAGTTTTTATTTATTATCTCGCTTGCTGTGTTTTATGAATTGTTTTGTTGTTTTGCGAAATGCCGGTTATGTAAATGTTGAAAAAATATTTCGTACATTTATCTAGTGCGTATGTTCTCGCGCTTGCTACACATTGGAAATGAAGTCAGCCGTGACCGTGTGACTTGTAAAGAACCCGACACGTTGTAGTTGCTTTGTTTGAATAAACATATATTTTGTAAATATAATTATGTTTCATTTACCAAGTTGCTACATTTTAACAAATTAGAAATGTAGATAGATATACATTTCCATTTCTAATAAATAAATATACTTTTTCTACTCCTGTACCTACTTAATATGTCAATTTTAATTTCATAAACAATATCACATACGTGCTCTTTTTTGTAATAAATCAAAATTCTATTGTCTATAGTACTCGTAACTGAAGTGAAATAATAGATTGTGTAAGGGCGGTAAATAAGAAATTACTAACGAGGGTCTATTTAATAACTCGAGGTTTGTACGTCCGTGATACATACAATGTGTTTCATCACATTTGCGAGGAAATAATAATTGCAATGTTTATTTCATGTATGAATAAATATGGTTCACAACAATTATGGATTTTGCAAATGGCGGGTATTTTGTTTTTTTTTTCAACAGATGGCCAGCTAGCCATTCTTCCATAGATAATACACCTCTACTAACTAACTCAACTAACTAAAATGTTGTAAAAAGACGCATACACAGCCATGATGGATAGTAAAAAAATGCAAAATTTTTATACAGAAAATAATTATAATTAATTATTAAAAATTCTTAATAATAAGTATTTAAGTAGTATTTGGCTGAATTGCAATTACATTTTTGTTTAGATAACATTTTAAGTGAAGTGAAGAATTTTAAGAGAGTTGCCTGGGATGAATGACCCTTATTTCGTCTCTATTTCTGGTTATCGAGTATTCGATGCCTTTATATAAAAAGAGATTGGTTAAATTAAAATATAAGCAGTACGTGGCCACTTCTATTCTAATATCTATCTTTGGTTTTTCGTTTTGAAGCGTTTGTTAGGTTTTCATTTGAGTTTGTTGTCATGGATTGTTAACAAAATGTACATTAAATATTGGATGTATTTAATCATTTTATTTACTCGTAGGAAAAGTATTTTATGCAATCATTACATAATTAGGTCTTAAAATTTCGTACCTATTATTAAACACGATACTCGACTTTAAGAACGCTCAGTATGCAAAGACTGCATAAAATATTCTTGTCACTTATTTCATTTACGATTTTATTGTGTATAAGAATTTTATTGTTTTCATTATCTAAAGGGTTAATTTAATATTAATTCCCTGCTTTAAAGGTACATAATTCCTTATAAATGTTAGAAGAAATCGAAAAAGGAATTGCCAGAATAGCCTTGCATCAATTCCTTTGTTTCGTTAAATTGCTTTGATCAAATTACACTTTGACCTTCAAGGTCAATTGTTAACACAGTCACGAAGCAACGAAATAATTAATTACCTGCCTTTGTAACTTTCGTTGGATTAAGCCAAGGAAACAACACTTGTGTTTGTGGGTTTGAAACACCATGTACAATGCACATACTCTATAATTTCCACCTAGTTACAAAACATTTTAGTAGCAGTAGATTTCCTTGTGAAAGAATTCGTCCAGGATAGTACTGCCACCTTGCCTATTTATGCCGCCAAGCAGTAATGTCAGCATTACTGTGTTCTGGTTTTGAAGGGTAAGGGTGTTGGTGAAATTACAGACACATGAGACTTGTCAACTTATGTCTCAGGGTGACGGGCGCAGTGGCAGTGCCCCTCAGATCTTTGCGATTTAAAGCTCTGAGTGGCATATAGACAGGTATGTAGCTTATCATCAGGCACTTGTACGTCGTGTCACTTGATTTTATAAAAAAAAGTTTACAATTAGAAATTGACGACTTCAGTGGTCCAACGGTTTGCACTGTGGGCGTTGGATGTGGAGGTCTGTGGTTCGATTGCCGATGTTCTGGGTAGTGCCCCGGAGTGAATTCCGGTGCTCTGGCACTCAAAAGTACAGTGAATTTCCCAGTTTGAGAATAGGTAATTAGTGCGGATGTTTGGCAATTTATCACTATCAGAAAGACCACTTATTTATAGCTAAATATTTATTTTTCTTAACTGACCTTAAAAAAAAGGAGGAGGTTGTCAATTCAACTGTATTCAGACTTTTTTTTATGTGTATGTTACGCGATTATTCATTTGCATTACTCATTGGTAATCTCATTGGCATTTATGAACTGATTTGGATGATTCTTTTTTTTGTTGGAAAGTGGGTACCTCAGGATTGGTCCCATTTACATTTGAAGAAAATATACCACGGCAAACTAGGGGATGAATCCGGTTTCGAGCACTTTCCTGCAACCGATTGTTAACTGTTTAGTTTCAGTTTGTACGTACATATAAGCAAAGTTTAAAGTCGATTTCTTTTTTTTAATAAAAAATATTGCTTAGTAGGTATACTAAACTTACGTGTATTACAAAATAAATAACATTTTTTGTATGATACGAAGTGGCGGGACGAACAAGTCGAGAGCCTAGTGGTAAGTGACATGCCATAACAGTTGCAGCGCCGCTCTGAGCTTAAAATACCAAAGGTCTAAGGGGCGCTGTCATTGCACCCGTCACCCTGAGACATAAGTGAAAAAGTCCCATGTACCTATAATTTCACCAGCTCACTTGCCCTTCAAAACCGAAACGCAAGAGATAGTACTATAGTAGAGTACTTTCCTGGACGAACACTTTCACATGGAGCTCTAGTTACTAAAAATAAAAAATAAAAAAGACAATGCAGAGGAGTTTATGTCGAAACTAGAAATATGCAGTCGACGAAAGAGGTACCCTTCGATTCGCGGGCTAATTGGAAAAGAAATATAATTAAATTTGTATTGAATTGATATTCAATTACTTTTTGCGAAATTAGTCCACTAGTTCGTTATAATTATTAATACAAACAGCGAACACTTAGAAAAAATTCCTTCGATGCGGCCGGATTCAAACCGTCGTGTTCAAGCGAACTAAGCCACGAAACGAACCAGCGGACCTCACAAATTTTTCTATGTGTTTGTTGTCAGATCTTTGTATTTGGTTTTTCAATGACTTTTTAGCCGTAGCGCCATCTATGAGAAATCTATGATCCAAGAAATATAATTCAACTTGCAGAGTACACACGAGACATACAAGACGAATGGATGCCACCACCCGCACTGGCCATTCACCCTGAAGATTCCCATACTACTCGCACGCAGGTGACAGAATGTGGCAAGCTGGGTCGGTATCGGTCCTATGCAGCCCGCAAGCGTGCTCATATGCAGAGTATGATTCGCATCATTGGAGGCCGACCTGCACCGCCTGGTAAATGGCCGTGGCAGGTTGCTGTTCTTAATCAGTATAAGGTACGGTGAGTTTTAACATAAAAGAGACTTTTATATTTTTAAGTGACGGGACGAACAAGTGGTGCGCTTGGTTATAAGCAACTTGTCCATGTCTGTAGTAGTTGCAGTGCCACTCAGAGTTTTAAATCGCAAAGATTTGAGGGGCACTGCGAGCCCTCACACTGAGCCATAAGTTGACAAGTCCCATGTCTTATAATTTTACCAGCACCCTAACCCTTCAAAACCGGAACACAGTAGTGCTGACATTACTGCTTGGCGGCAGAAAGAGGTAAGGTGGCAGTACTTCCCTGGACGCTCTCTTTCACAAGGAGCTCTACTGCTACTAAAACTATAAAAATATCCAAAAATAAGGATAACATAAAACGATTCACATCGGCTTGCCTGATAAATGGGTTCATTTAAGTATTAAAGTAAGTCATATTTTACTAATCCACCAACGTCACTGTTATTTTATTTATTTTTTTATTTCATTATTTATTGTACAGGAAAACACAAATCACATTTGGTAAAACGGAAAACACAAACAAAAGCTACTGCTTATGTCTAAAAAAAATTTGTTCCCAAATTTGTGACCAAATAAAAAAGTGTTTTGTGACCAAAATACAGGATACAATAATTACAATAATGAGTTTACGTGCACAACAAAACAAAATTTATTTATGTAATAAAATAATAATTAAATAAACAGCAAAACTATTAAATTACTACGGACTATACAAATACTTAGATAAATACATTTTTCATATTATAATATCTATAAAATGGATGGAACGGAGGATAAATAGTGCTCCTTGACTCTCATTTTAAAGATTTTCTCATTTTATTACTTACCGATTGCAAAAATCTAGGAGGTTTTCAATTCGACTGTTTTCACGAATACTTCGATATTTGTGAACCGATTTCGTTGATTGTCTTTTTGTTGGAAAGGTCAGTCAGTAGTAGTCCCACTCAAATTTGGAGAAAATATTCCACCTCTAAGGGTGGCAAATTTGAGGATGAATCCGTTTTATTGAAATTCGCCCATTTTCGTTACCGATTTTAATAAAACTTGGCACATAGATGTATTACAATGAAAATAAAGTGTTAAAATGCTTTTCCACCGGCGAGGCGAGACGAGACGAGGCGAAGCGAGAATTGAAATCTCGCCGACCTATTTCCATAAAAATTTTTTTATGGCATTTGCATTCGCTTTCCGAATTTCAACGCTACTTTTTGAGTGAATTATGTAAAACCCTTTTTTGTTTTAGTTTTAAGGTCTTAAACGTACAAATAAGTTCAAGCAATGTCAATAATTATAAAATTACAGAAATATGTAAGTTAAATACAACAGAAAACGATATTTTAGGTCACACGAATGAGATAGTGTAACAGGAATGATTTTCTCATAAACATAAATGAGAAAGACGACACAGTAATGAGAAATTATTATTACAACACACATTTTATCATTCACAAAAGAACATTTAACAACATTTAACATGTAACAAATATTTTAATATAACTTCTATTAAAATCCTTCTCATCCATGTAAGACCATCATCTATCTATATGTAATTAATAATTAAATCTAAATCATAACGCACACACTCAACATAGCCCCGCACTAGGGAAACCCTGTGTCGCGGGTGCCATGGACACACACATAGACAACCACAAATTACACCCAAACTCACGAGAGAAATAATTGTAGGCCATACAACTATTTCTCCCGGCCCGGGAATCGAACCTGGGACCTCTGCGTGGCAGTCCGGCATGGTAACCGTTCGGCCACGGAGGCAGTTCAAATCAGTATTTTGTTAATGTCATATAAACTTTGTTGTATATCAATATATTATCGTCACCACCATCAACATCATCATCATGATCACCATTATCATCAGCATCATTACCTTTCACATCGTTATCACAATCATCGTCATCATCACTACAATCATCATCGTCATCATTATCATCATCATTATCGTCACCACCGTCATCACCACCACTATCATTATCTAATTGTTATATTTCAAGTAAATGTTTGGCTTAAAGTAACTGTTTGGCTTAAAGTAACTGTTTGACTTAAAAGTAGACAAGAATGAGAGCGACAATAATGATATTTGGATACATTTTTAATTGTCAAGTGTGTAGAATATGCTGGAACGTTATAGAAGTGCAGGTTTACAACTGGTGGTGGTATATTTACGTTATATTGCAACTATATTGTGTACATATACTTTTGAAAACGATGTAATGTTTTAAATGTGGTTACATAATTATGATAAACTCACAATCCTAATCGTGTACATTTTAATGCAATTATAAATATATAATATGCATTGTATGAATATTTACGAAATTGATATGGATGTATGACACCAGGACTATATATTTTTCATTGACTGTAGTTTGTTTATTTTTCTCTGAAATAAAAGTATACCTTTTTTAAAATGGTGTCGTGATTACATATTTTTGAAAACAGCACAAGGTACATTTTTTGAAATATCTAATATTTACGTAATTTCAAAAATGTGTGAACGTTTACATTTCAATGCACGCGACTGACTGTATTCCACAATCTCGCCATTGACATCGCACGAGGCACCGTGAATCGTGTTTCCGTTGCAGAGTTAATAAATAGTCTATATAGGCAGCAATACGGTTCAATGTTACATCAAAAAAATGTTTCAAATCTCGTTTCACCCATCCTCGTCAATCTCGACCATTTCTACCGAAGATGCGCTAGGAGAGAATTGATATTTTGCCATATAAGTTTTAAAAATCGCTCGCCTCACCGGTGGAAATATACCCTTATGGTGAATAAGAGCTGATTTGACGACAGAAGTGGCAGACAGACGAGATAATCCATCATTAATGTACAGCAGCTACCTTGCGTTTGGGCGCATATGAATCGTTTTAATGAGGACTGTCATATCCTTTTCAATTATTATCGTTGGGAGACCGCGGTGTTTATCCGCTTTCGGAATGTTCGTTACTTTAAATATTAGGTCGTTTTTCTTTAAAGTTTTAATTTTTGTCCAAAATAATATTACGAGTTGGCTTTTAGAAATCCACTTTTTTTATAATTTCAAGTGACGGGACGAACAAGTCGTGCGCCTGATAGTGTTCCGGACAGGAGCCCGCGAGGAAGATAAATATTGAACGCTATCAGCGTTCACACAATGAGGATTATAACATGTGTTTAATTTGAAATTTACAGTTTGCTCGCAGCTCTTATTTGATGATTAGAAGACACACGTCTTCTGTAGAAATTGCCGGACTGCCACGCAGAGGTGCTAGGTTCGATTCCCGCGCCGGCAGAAATATTTGTATGGCCTACATTTATTTCTCTCGTGAGTTTGGGTGTAATTTGTGGTTGTCTATGTGTGTGTCCATGATGCCCGCGACACAGGGTTCCCTAGTGCGGGGCTACGTTGAGTGTGTGCGTTATTATTATTATTGTAACATTAGCTGTATACCACAAACAAAGGCGCTATTTGATTCTTTGTTACTGAAAATTCGTAATTTTAATAGTACGATAATTGTGCGATTCAGTGTGACCTATGACATATGCCTGCTAAAGTTATACGCGTGGGTTGACTCAAAAGCGACACTTGACAGATTTAAGGACCAATTGTTCAACTTCTGTTTCCCGTGTTGATACAGTAAGACAGTGTGATGGTAACTTGCAAGTAGTTGAGATGAGGGTAGCCTTCGACAACGAATAAGGGTAGACAGATATGAAAGTCTATCCTTGTCAACTGCCGTTTAGCAGTTAACCCGTGAGCACAAGCCTCTATAACCTTTTGAAATTTTGTAAAAAGAATAAAAAGTTACGCCGTGGGAAGAAATCTCTCACTACTGACAATAATAAGAAAAAAAATTGTTGGTAATTTTGGCATTTCAATAGCGTTAAAATTTCAAATTTGACCAAGATATGTTGGAGTTTGACTCTATGTTGGAGCTTCACCTGGATGTTAACGTATTGATTGATTTATTAATTCGACTAGGTACTCATTATAGATGAGCGAAATAATGTTTGTTAT